AAAAACAGAACCAAATGCTTCTATTTAGATATGAAGCCACAAAGCTACCAACTAAATTAACTTGGGACACGAAAAATCATAAAAAACGAACTCTTTACAGGAACAAGAGATGCAAACAACAAACACAAATAGCTTATCTTGCCTTTGATTAAAAAAATAGGAAAAAGAAGTGGAAACCACAACAAACTCGTTTAACTAACAGAAAAGGAAACTATGAAGCCCCCAATAATCATTTGTTAATAATATAGATCATTGATCTGAAACACAGATTCATAAGAGATTAATGAAAAAACTAACCATCATTTGTTAAAAATGTAAACCATCCATCCTAGCCACCAATACATAAGAGATTAACGAAAAAACCAACCGATGTATTGTATGTGCCTTATACTTTTGTACTGCAAGTGTATAAATATGATTTCCCTTGTCGATATTTGGAATACAATCCATTATCAAGTCCATATGTACGTATGGCGTGAATCCATTCATCTGAATCATCCTTATTATTCTCCTTTAAGGTCCCACTTAATTCAATATTTCTATCTACTGCCTTAGGGAAGTTTTCCTGGCAAACATCCTGCCTCAGCAACCTATTCGAATACTTAATCCCCATCAGGTTCCTTTGATGCATCCAAACTCAAGGTTACATCTTTATTCACAGGTTGCTCTACGACTTCAGTGGTGCACCATTGTTTTCACCTACCTTGGCATGCTCAGCGATGCCAGTGCTGTTTTTCATCGCAGAACAAAACGAACTGCACCAAGCTGGATTCAGAGAAAATATAAGGAAACAATATGTCACACACCAAGAACACAACAAAGCAACAAGATATTAGGAAAAACAATTATTGTTCATTGCAAATTACTGCTTCACAGTTAACATTCAGTAAATGTGTTTTTCACCGAGATTAAAACTCATATGGAGGTGTGATTATGTGCATAAACAGAAAATCTTTTCATTGAATGCTTAGATTAAGGCATAATAAAGCCATTACTGTTGAAAAAAAAACCCCTCCCACAAAAACAAAACCTCAATATCCTCAAACCCCATACATCATCAATTACAACGCATCACACAAACCAACAACATCACCTCATCAGTTCTTCCACTGCCCTTCAAACTGTAGTTATACATAATCAAAGCCGCATCAAATAAGACCCCTAGCTAGGGTATATCATATCTATTGTCAAACTACCGAAAAAATAAATTAACAAAAAATAACTGTAAAAGAAAAAAAAATAAGAAACTCACCAGAAAATCGAATGAATAGAGAGAGATTCAGAACCTGCTCGTGAAGTTACCCCACGGAAAGCACCGAATTTTGACTTTTGCAGCCCCTTTGATATCCATCGCGACGCTAAAAATCTGAGATGCCACCTTTGTCGGTCCGAACGCCAAACCTAAATCAAAATGAAAACTAAGATCGATAAACACGAGACCAAAATTTTGAAATAAACTAAACAAATACTACAATTTTTCCCACAAAAACATCAAAATTGAAAAATTACAAAACACAATAGAGCTCACACCTGATCGTCCATGGAATTTTATCGATGATTTGAATAGAGATTTCATGGATTTTTTCTTCACAGTTCTCTCTCTCACAGCCATAAAAGAGAATTTGGGACCCGTGTCGACGAATTCTTCGGAGGATGCTGGTCTTGGATTTTTCTGCTCCATAGAGAATTGTGAACTTCTTGATTTCGTCCGGTGGTGCTGGCGGAGGCCGATGCGTATCGTTGAGATGTTTCTGGTGAAAGTTGAGGTTAAGGGATTGAATTCTTCACGATGGCGGCGGTGGGTGTGGTCCGATCGGGTGAGGCGTCGTCCTTCTGTGGTGGTTGCGGTGGCGGCAGAAGGCTGAGCTAGTGGTGGTGGTTGGGGCCGCTCGACGTGAATCCACTGGGGAGAGAAAGGAGGGCAGAGTTTGAATATTGTAGAGAATGAATTGTTGTTCTCGTCTGTCCTGCCTTTTGTCTCTTCAAGCACGTCTCCCAGCAGATTTTGAGGGAACAAATCCCGCAAGAAGCGTGCACAAGAAAAGAACAAAAATGACTTTAGAACCCTCAAAAAGTTAGAATATAGAAGGGTATTTGAGTCAAAATATTTTTGTCCAAAAAATAACATTCAAGTAATTGCTCACTAAAATGCCATGTGTCAAGCAACGAAGCAGCCACTTGTTACCATTTAAAGGGAACTCACTCCTTCAGATAAGAGAGATATGTATTGTACAATATGATTTTTTTTTTTTCTTTTTTTCGGGTGTAAAAGGGAAAAGAGATGAATCATGAAATGAGAAAATACTGGGAAATAGTACGGTTCCGTTACGGAACCATTTCGTCGAGTTTGTAAACCGTTAGATCATCATGTAATCGTCGAGGATAGTTTATCTAACGGTTACAAACTCCGACGGAATGGTTCCGTAGCGAGACCGTAGCATCTCCCAAAAATATTGTTTAGTGATTGTTTTTGACATAGACATGCCCAGTAGGTCAGCCCACATATAGGCCCCGAATGGTCCTTTAAACCAATCTACAAGCAACTCAGTCCAATTCAGTTAAAACATGATCGAAATTGACCTCGTCGAGTCAATCCAGTCTATTTATATTTTTTTGTCATTTTATATTAATTGGTTTGGTAACAGTTATCAACATTTCCAACAAATAATAATATTCTATATATTTTTACACATGATATATAACATTTTAAATACTTTTAATATTTTAGATATGCATTTTTTAAATGTTGTTACACAAATTAATTTGCAATTAACTTTAACTAATTAAGAATGGTAATTTCCAACAAATTAATAATATGTATTAAGGTTAATCCATTTTTTTTAATTTATAAATATTATTTAATATTATTTATTCATATATTGCACTGATGGGTCAATGTGATTTCAAATGTATAACTAGCTATAATTACATAGTGGCCTAACGAATTTTCATGGACTACCCACTTAAGAAATCTATATCTATAGTAATATAAAGAGGTTGTTGGAAAAATACTTTTATAGTAAGTTTGATTAAAAAAAATAAATAGTTTAACTTACTATTAATGAAAATTTCGAAAAAAACACATGTACTAAAAAAATTGAGATTTTTATGATAACAAATTTGGAGATTTTAATGGTAACAAATTTAATTGAGTATCCCAAAAAATTGGAGATTTTTATGGTAACAAATTTGGAGATTCCTATACCAAAATTTAATTCATTTTAAATATTAATTCATAGGAATCTATTTTTATTGGTAACAAATTTAAAGATTGTTATGCCAAAAAATTGAGATTTTGAATTTAGATATTCCAACAATTACGGATTTTTTTCCTATTCAAATTAATGTTGTAAATCGAACAAAAAATTATTTCAAAAATAATGAATGTTATACCAACTATTGATAAACTCCAATCCCATAGGAGATATCTATGGGATTCTTATGGTAACAAATTGAGATTCTTATGCCAAAAAATTGAGATTTTGAATTGAGATATCCTAACAATTTCAGATTTTTTCCCCTTCAAATTCATGATGTAAATAAAAAAAAAAAATTATTTCGAGAATAATTGATGTTATACTAAATATTGATAAATTCCAATCCAAAGGAGATTTTTATGAGTTTCTTATGGTAACAAATTGAAGATTCTTATGGTAACAAATTTGGAAATTCTTATACCAAAATTTAATATATTTTAAATATTAATCCCATAGGAATCTATTTTTATTGGTAACAAATTTGAAAATTCTTATGCCAAAAAATTGAGATTTTGAATTGAGATATCTCAACAATTACGGATTTTTTTTCCATTCAAATTAATGTTGTAAATCAAACAAATAATTATTCTAAGATAATGGATGCTACACTAAATTAATATCACTGGGCCCACACGTTAATATGATATTAATTAGATAAATAAATTACGTAAATCTTTCTTAACAAAATGCGTTCCAATATTGTTAACCAATTTAATGAGATTTTCTTAACTAATTTGATAAGATTTTGGTAACCACGGGATTTTGTTAGTTTTTCGTAGAAACACGAATCTTCATTATTGATAAGGTTTGATAAGATTTTGTTTCCATTTTTTTTTGTTTTTTTTCCTCTCTCAAAAATTTGATAAGGTTTGATAAGATTTTGTTTCCTTTTTTTTCTCTCTCTCGAAAATTTGAGTCGTGGATTTGAAAAAAAATAAATAAATAAAATAAACATATCATATTGATAAAGTTTTAGTGTGGGCATAAAAATCAATTTTGATTTGATTGAACTTTATTTCATATAAACCTAAGAGAATCAGACGTTTGAAAAAATAAAATATTAATAGTAAATAATCATACCATATTTGTAAAGTTTGATTTGAAATATTGAGGCATAAAAATCAATTATGATTTGATCACATTTTGTTTTATAGAAATTATCTTAGAAAATTTTACACGTTTCAAAAAATTAAAGATTATAATTTTGTAAATTAAAGTTTTGGATTTGTCCAAATAAATAGATCAAAATAAAAATATTATTTTTCAATCTATCAAAAAAGTCTTACCAAATTTCATTGTAACAAACTTCATTATTTTTGGCTACATAATCTTCTAAATATTGGTTCGTCCCTCACAAGTGAATCACGTTCCACATTTTTTTTTCTTTAACAAAACCGATAACACATATTTTTAGAAGTCAATCATAATCATACTAAAAAAAATCGGATCGGATCATATTAAATACCTTACGTAAATATTTTCTTATTTCCTAGACATATGGCACATACACATGACTATATAAACATCACCAACGTTGAACAAAAAGTATTCGACATCCAATATATCCCACAAAACAATTTTTTCTACAAGCTTTTACATCACCATTGAAAATGGCTTCGGATTTTGGAGTAATCAAGGATATCAAAAGATCCAATAAGCCACCAATCAAGCTACGCATAATTAGGATGTTCCAACGAGTTGAAGACGTACGCAATTACCGAAATGTGCTTGAGATTATCTTTTATGATTTTGAGGTAATATATTCATTTAGTATTATTTAAATGCATCATTTTATGCAACATCTTTTATAATTTATTTATTGAAGTATTCATTATGCAATGTTTTAGGGAGGATGAATTACTGGCATAATTCGACATGTCAATATCCAAAAAATCATCGGTGATATTGAAGAAGATGACGCTTATATCTTGACAAACTATCAAGTGAAAAGCAATACTGGCATCCATAAATCGACGATAGGTAAAAGGAGGATCATTATCAATGGTCAAACCAAGATTATCAAATGGATGGGTGATTTATCAAATGGAGAGGTGATTTATCAAATGGAGGGGTGATGTGATTTCTCTATTTCTAACTTTAATGGATGTTCGTAACATTGATGAAGTCATGGGGTTTGGTACGTTATAATTTTTTTGTTTATTTCTTATTTCGATTTTTTTAATTTAAAATATGTAATAAACTATTTTATATGTTATACATTTCAATATGATGCATTTTCTTATATTTTTATAGATGTTATTGGATTAATTGTTTTCTATTATGTTTTCTTACAACATGACTATAAACAAGAGTCAGAAACAATCGTTATCGCATGTGGGCTTCTTTCTTAAGAAACCAGTGTTTAGTCATGGTCAATTGTATGTTGCTGTCTCCCGTGTCACAAACAGAAATGGGTTTGAAAGTCCTAATTTGCGGCGACGATGACGTGCCAAAGAATCAAACCATGAACGTTGTATATAAGGAAGTGTCAATAATATATAGATTTTATTATCATTGTATTTATTAATTTATTTATTATTAATGGCATGATCTTTCCTTTAGTAAGTACTTTGAATTTTAACTGAACATTGCTTTATAAAAGGGACGAAGATAATAAACCCCCGTGCATCGCACGTGACTGTACTAGTATATTGAAAAAGGTTGATGTTAAAATCAATTATGGAAAGCTAAAAAACCAGTCAAAACTTTGACTTACTGTTTGTGGAACATCTTTAAAAATATGGATTTTTTTTTTGGTTTTTTTTTTTTCAAATCGATAGATTTTATTGCTCAAACCCAAACTATTACAATCGATGGCTACGAAGCCTACTGGCAACCCAAAGTTGGCAAGGAGGAACACATCACAGAGTGCCCTAGACAAAACAAGGAATACAAAGATTGAAACCCTTACCCCGACAGTGACAAATGCCTGGAGCCCGGTGGCTAGAGTTTCAAACCCCGCTGTATCAAACAGCTAACAAAAGCAACTGACCACTGTACCCGAAGGACCTAGCCAGAGCAACTAACAACTAAATCAAACAGTGACAAATGCCCTTACCCCGACAGTGACAAATGCCTAGAGCCCGGTGGCTAGAGTTTCAAACCCCGCTGTATCAAACAGCTAACAAAAGCAACTGACCACTGTACCCGAAGGACCTAGCCAGAGCAACTAACAACTAAATCAAACAGCAAACTACAACATACTACTAAAGAAATCAAAAGGCAACTAAAAAAGACAGCAAAATCCAACCAACTACTCAATGAACAAAAAGGGAACTAAAAAGACTAAGCAACTGTACAGTGATCATGGGACAGGGGGCATCTTCCCAGCTTCTCCAAATAACAACCATTCTTCCACAGCTTTGTTTGCCAAATTATGCTCAGATCTCCAACGATTTTTGAAAGTCCACATGTTCCTACCCTTCCAAATCCACCAAAAAGTGAATGCAGTGAGCTGTAATCGTTTTTCTGAAAGAGTTGAAGCTTTGATAGTACAAATCTGAGTCCACCAGTTTTTAAAAGAATCCTTATGACAGTGCATATTCTCCCAACTGACCAAGGAGAACTTCCAAATATTCTGGGATATAGGGCAATGAAAAAATAGGTGCTCAATTGTTTCAGGCTCCATCCCACATGATTTGCAAATGACATCCAGCCTAAGCCCTTTTTTCCACAGATTAGTTTTAAATGGTAGGATTCCTTCACAACACTTTCATATAAAATGCTTGATTTTACGTAGAATCTTCGGCTTCCAACTTCTTTTCCTCATGTTCTTCAGCTCAGAAATAGTTGAACTACTCTCAGCCAGTCCCATCATTGCCCATTTCTCCTTCATTCGAGTTGAGTATGCTGCTCCAACCGAGAATTTCCCATTCTTCCCTCCATCCCACTGGATTTTTCTTTTGGTTTTCACGGAGCAAAAATCTGTTTATTTGAGATTCTGTTCATGCGTTGCCTAATTCCGGGGGATAAAATCCGACTTTTTTTCTTCCACACGTATCGAAATTGTTTTGTATAACAATACCGCTATAGACCCCGTCAAGTTATACCGCATTAAATCACTCCCTGATGTGGTTTTTGACCTGTCAGTACAAGTCATCAATTTTTCCTTATTATTCGGCCCTAGAAAAAGCAGATTTTTAAAGTGAGTTAATAAAAAATCAACTCTTATTAAACCCCGCGGCCCGAACATCCCTTCAAAGCCCGAACCCAAAAAAATCATCAAGGAGACCTATCAGAAGCGCACGCACCACCACCACATCCTCCTCTGCATCGGGTTCGTCGTCAAGAGCAAGCAGAGCCTCTGGGTTTTCAAAGATTTTGTCGACCGAATTGTTGAGACGGCTGATGCGAAGAGGAAGATGTATAAGCGGGTGTTTTCTTGTGGAAACCTGTTGGTTGGAGTCTGAAATATTCACGGCAACTTGTGTAGGTAAAACTACGACATTCAATTTGATATCCCTGGAGAAATATATTTGAGGAAGAACGTGATACTGAGGCCGGGAAATCAGGCCCGCAAAACAAAAAAAAAAATCGACAAAAAAACCGAGGAGAAACGATGGTTGTGAACAGAGGACGGGAAATTGGCAGCCGAAAAAATATCCTTAGGGCTAAAATATTTGGGGAAGAACAAAACAANAAATAAGAGTATTGGTTGTGAAATAAGAGTTAACTAATGTACAGCTGTCAGGGAGTAGTATAAAAATTGGGAACTAGACGGGGAAATGAGCATTTTTCTTTGTATAATTGTGTATAAATTTTTTCCTAAGTTGCCTTAGTTCACGCGTTTCCTAAATTGTCTTGATAGATAAATATGACTATCTATGTTAATCCTAAAATTATGTTGAGAAGATCTTTTAATTTTATAATCATTTTTATAAAAGTCAATATTTGGTCACTTGCTATAAGTTCATTTTTTAAGAACAAAAAAATCTTCTTTAATTAATTAGATATGCTTCCGGGTCCTTACTTCAAAAATTTAAACATTTACAATTTTATCGACAATTATTTTTTGTACAATATCTAAAATCAGATGTAATAATAATTTAATTAAAATATTTCATTTTATAATGTGAAATTATTATTTAATAAAATGAAATTTAAAATATAGCATGGAAATTCATAATGTTATTTAGAAATAAAATAAAATACAACATTTATTGAATCCAAACAATTGTTATTAATAAATAAAAATAGAATTTTATAGTTATTTACAAACAATATAATTTGACATATAGCAATGATTAAAGTAAAATATATGTTATCTAATAAAATAAGATTTAATAATTGTTATTTTCAAATAAAAATCAAAATGTTTCGAAACTAATGTAAAAAATTAGGATCGATTAACAAGTAAATAATTTTGTTGAATAATATATTTCTAAATTTATGATACAAGTGCCCAAATCCAAATAAAGACACGTTCAAATATCTATATATATATATATATATATATATATATATATATATATATAGGGCTGGTTTAAATAAAAACTAGTCCTGCTGTGAGAACTGTGAGAACCATATTTGATGTTATTTTTTATTGTGTATGATGCTATTTTTAATATCACATGGTGCTATCATTTTCACAAATGCTAATACAAATGGTGTTGCTATTTTTAATAAAATACGTCAATGTTAAAAAGAGCACCAAAACACAATCAATCATAGCACTACGTACTACGTACAATTAAAAATAGCGGTTTTCACGGTTCTCACACTAGGACTTGGTTCTCATTTGACCACATCCTCTCTCTCTCTCTCTCTCTCTCTCTACATATATATATATATATATATATCATTATTGTAGATTATAAATTCAAATTAGGCGTGAATTTTAAAATCGAGAATTTCGAACTAGGCAAAGTACTATCACATATATCTTTTCTTAATTGCAACAGATCCATTGTTTACTAAAAAAATCGAATTGCATAGATATCGGGTTAATTTTGGTAAAATTCAGCATGACAATTTTGTAAAAGTCAAAATTCTCTAATTTTTTATTAAAAAAATCTATTTATCATAAAATCGAGAATTTCGAATTAGGCAAAATACTATAACATGTATTTTTACCTAATAACAATAGATCATGTTTATTGAGAAAAAATTGGATTGCATAGAAATCGGGCCCAATTTCAAATTTGAAATTTAAAATTTAAATATCCCTTATCATTTGGCTACTATTTTTTTTAAACATAAAACAGAGTCAGATAATATTAATTTGAAATTCAAAATGAAATCGGATTGAAACCTCCTAAAAGTTTGGGTTTTATTTAATCTTCTAGGGAAAAAAAAATTGAAATTGATTACATACATATTACTTAAATTAAGTAATTTACAATTTTAAAATAATAAATCACCTCACCCACTTGGAGACCATCTTCTCAATGTAATCGACCGTAATTTTTTGCTATGCAATCTTCATAAAAGCAGTATAAATCATATCATATATATTCTGCTAAATAATTTAATTGAGTTACTTAAGACTATCTAGAATCCTAATATATTTTGTAAGCAATAGACAATGTACCAAAAAAAAAAAAAAAAAAAAAAAAAAAAAAAAAAAATGTTGTGTACAATAATGTGTTTAATAAATATAAGTTACACTTCCTTTTTATTCCAACACATGTGTGTTTTACGTTATTTCAATCATCAATCGGCCAGATCGACGGTAAAGTAGTTAAAATGGATTATCAAACCGCAACGCAAACGAGGGGGAAGTACGCCAGACTGGCCGTCGTACTCGATTTGACCAAACCGTTGTGTGCACATTTTACCATTCAAGGCAAAAAACAGATGGTCGAATATGAAAGCCTTCCAGATATTTGCTATCAATGTAGTCGGTATGGCCACCAGAGCGTAGCTTGCCCGGAACGAACTATACCAAATACTACTGACCCGCAAGATAGTGGCCCAGCAAACCAATTCCAGGCGGCTAAAGACACAGCCGGAATATCGCACGACACGGCGGAGCAAGATTCCAGAAAAAAAAAACCCAATCTTTGGCCCCTGGATGCAGGCGCAAAAAGGGGGGAGATTGGGCGGAGGGAGAAATTTGGAGGCAATCAACAAGTTTCCTAAACAGAAATGAGGGCCTTTTAATTTTGGGAGAAGATTTGATGCGTTAGGGAATTTGAATGAGGGAAACTCAGAGATGCATATTTTTTCAGCGCAGGATAAGGCGAAATCTGGGGGAATTAAGGAAAACTGGAGACCTATTGCCGAGCTTAAAAAAGGAAGAGGAAAGGATATAGTGCAAGAACAAGTGGGCCCCATTGGAGGTTTAGACAACACTAGAACTGGGCCTGGGAACAACAATTCGTATGGGCCTAAAATGCAAATGATAACGGACAACAAAAGAAGTCGTGTGTTGGGTAAGGAGGGCCCATCAAGTGGGTCGGGAACATCACATGAACAGACAAGTTACACTCACCACAAGACTCTACAGAGGACAACCAAAAGCATGGCGATAGAGGCATCACAAAAGGACTTCGGGGATTTCGCCTTTCAGCCCAATGCAACGGTTGTTCCGGCGATGAAGAGGAACACGATGTTCACATGGTGCCGGAGACACCTCAGGGCTCTGCAACTGTTAATTCGTGCTAGCGGACAGCTCCACCTCCTCTGTTGTTTCATAATGAATATAATGTTTTGAAATGTTAGAGGTGCTGGCTCGAAGACCTTTAGCCGGACCTGTTCTCTTCTTAAGACTAAGTATGACCCGGACATTGTCGCGCTCTTCGAATCCAAGGTGAGCGGGAAAAAAGGCGATAACTTTGGTAAAAGGAGTGGTTTTGATTGCTCCTTTCAAATTGAAGCAGCTGGATTCTCTAGAGGAATATGGATCATGTGGAAAGAAGGGATTGAGCTCACAGTGATAAAGTGCCATAAACAATTTGTGCACTCTCTCGTGAAGACGGATTCCTTCGAGTCACTAGTCACTTTTGTGTACGCTTGCCCACAACATAGAGGCCGTAGACACCTCTGGACTGCTCTCAATTCCCTAGCAAACGACATACAAGCCCCATGGGTACTTGGAGGAGATTTCAACTGTACGTTGAGCCCGGCGGAACAACGTGGTGGTGCACATGGCCGACAGTTTGATACGGGCTTTTCAGACTATTTTTACGAGAATAACCTATTGGAGGTCAAGACAGACGGCCTACGTTTCACATGGTTTGGGCCGAACATCGAGAAAAAGCTTGATCGTGTTATTGCAAACGAGCAATGGTTGGACCGTTTTGGTAATGCTTTTGTGGCCCACCTTCCACGACACCAATAAAATCATCTCCTTTTGCTTCTAAATTGTGGACGGAAGCCGGATACAAGGATCCCAGGGTCCAAAACTTTCAGGTTCTTAGCTTCTTGGCTAATGCACGATAATTTCGAAAGCCTGGTGAAAAGAGCCTGGAACTCGACTGATTATACTTCAGCAGTAAGTAACTTTACTTTGGAAGCAAAAGAGTGGAATTCTCAAGTTTTCGGGAATATCTTCCACCGGAAAAATCGTTTGTTGGCTCGTCTGGGAGGAGTGCAATGCCATTTACAAATTTATGTGACCGACAGACTTTTAAAGCTGGAAAGAGATTTGAGCTCTGAACTGGAAGAAGTCCTCGTACAGGAAGAGTTGCTACTATTACAAAAATCCCAACGTGATTGGAACTTATTTGGGGATAGAAACACCGCTTTCTTCCATCGGTCTCTTAAACAACGTCGCCGCCGTAATAAGATCAATTCTTTGTTGAACGAAGAGGGTTCCATGGTGGACGATCAAGCCACACTACAAAAGATGGCAATCGACTTTTTCTGAAACATTTACATGGCTGGCCCCACCCCACACCGTGATAGACAAACCCTAGTGGCTTTCCCAGAAGTTGAGACAGCTACTTGGCAGCGCCTAAATAGAGAGGTGAAAGATGAAGAAATCCTCCAGGCTTTGAACTTAATGCACTCCCTTAAAGCCCCGGGTTGGATGGTTTGCATGCCCTCTTTTTTCAATGAAATTGGAGTACGGTTGAGACATCGGTTTGCAATGTTGTCCGTATTGTCTTGAATGGAGGGGATATGCCTCAGCAGTTAAATAAAACACTTATTGTGCTA